TCAATCTGCATACTCTGTAATGAGCTTCTCTGTCTTTAAAAAAAAAAAATGTCAACTCATTTGAGGACCAACGTTTTGAATACACCCAAAATGTAATAGATACAGAAAGGGTTGTCATGGTTTTTCTTTAGGACAGCCTCTCCCCAATAATGTAAAAGTAAAGAGTTTTATTAATGGGATATAAACATTCCCCAGCAGTATAAGGATCCAAACACAATAGCGTTGCTTCTTAGACCAGTCAGAAAGCTGAAATTTAGGGCTTTGAGGGACTGTTCTGTTTAGATGAGAAATCAGTTATTCCTGATGTAATCTGTTTATTTCCAAAAACTGTACGTAAAGTCCTGTTTCCCCAACAGGAAAATACATCATAAAATCAATTTCCTTGGTCAGAAATCCCCAGGTGAACCCCTCCAGCCAGCACTGAGTCCAAAGAGGGGCTGCCTCTGCTTCCCTTCAAGGTCATATGTACAAGATCTTGGCAAGTTATACAGCCAGCAGCCAACCTCTAGCCCAGTAGTGTGCAATCTGCGGCCCATCAGGGTAATCCACCGGCAGGCCATGAGACAGTTTGTTTACATGGACCGTCCGCAGGCACAGCCGCCCGCAGCTCCCAGTGGCCGCGGTTTGCTGTTCCTGGCCAATCGGAGCTGCGGGAAGCTGCAGGCCGCTGGCAAGCATGTAATTTCTGCTGGTTTAGAACAAACATTATAGCTTTACAGATGTCACTAAATATGTTTATCAGCACTATGCATGTCCAATTGCATCCCTCCTTCTCCTCACAGGCCACTCCATGAAATAATCATTCCATTTTAACTCCTTCCCTCAATTATTCACCAAGAGGCTGTTCCTAAACCCACCGACATCAATGGAAAAACTGCCATTGACTTCAGTGAGCTTTGAATGTGGCTCCAAATTCCTCACCCTGCCTTGGAGGCATCCAAAGAAAGTCTGAGAAAGCTATTTCAAAGCCAACACTCCCCCCCGCCCCCGATTTTTTCTGTCTTCTTTAAAATGCCACAAAATGTTGAATCTGTTTTAAAAAAAATACCCTATAATGGAAATTGTGGGTAATCGTGAAAGAAATGGTTTTTCCAGTTATAAAATATTGCATCTTTGTCTTAGCATTTTATCACTCTCCAAAGCTGTTTATTGCCTTGTACGCTCCATCATAAACACCAGCCCTTAAACAGATGCAAATCAATCACTGTCAGTAAGCTCAAGGAGCCGAAGCATTTCCCATCATCGTGTAACTAATGCTTAACATTGTCTAAATATCACGACACATTCAGTCTTCTTATCTGACTCAATCACAAACAGCACCAAGGAACTGAAAAACATTCTAAACACCTACACAGCACAGTGCTGCAGCTTAATAGCTACTGGTGAGATATAGCTGTATCCAGAACGAAATATTCCCTATGCTGAGGGGAAAAAAAAGGCAGGTTTGCTTCACTTTTATTGTGTGATGTGTTGTGGTTCGGCGCACAGTCATGAGCCGTGATGTTCAAAAGTGACTAGGGAATTTTGAATGCCTCCTTTTGTGGAGTGCCCAGTTTGAGACATCTTAAAGGTAGCTAATGTTGCCGACGGTCACCGGTGTGGTGCTCTGCTCTGTCCAATGTTGATAACAGTCGGCTGCATGCGTGTGTTCCCCCTGTGTGCTGCCCCGGCTCTGTGCAGATCGCTGGCACAGCAGACCCTGAGAGAATCCCCAATGACCACAGACTCCGATAAGGTACAAAGGCACCTGGCCAGGTTTATTGCCAAACGAAACATCTAGCTCCCCGGATCAGATGTCTACAGTTCTGCTAGCGGATATGTGCTCCCTGACACTGGACACATGCTCAGTCAGTGATGGGACTTACTATTGCCCCCAGGCCAGACAAAGACAACTCCTCAGGGTTGCATTCTTATACCCAGGTGCAAACAAGTTACACATCACTTCTGACGTATAGAGGTGCAACCCCTCTACGCTTTAGGGTGCCACCTCTCACCTTGTGCATGTTGGTTCGAACAAAACAAGTTTTGTATTTTTTGTACCAACAGGGTTACCATACATCCGTATTTTCCCAGACGGCAATTTGAGAACCAAAACCCCTGACCTGTCCGGGAAAATACGGGTGTGTGTTAACCCTGCCTAAAGTTCTTTTTTAAAAAGATGGGCCTGAACTAGAAATGAGCTCCGTTTCACATGTGTGGGTCCCCGCCACTCCCTGGGGGTGTGTTAGGGGGACCAGATGTCCCGATTTTATAGGAACAGTCCCGATTTTGGGGTCTTTGTCTTATATAGGCTCCTATTACTCCCCACTCCTGTCCTGATTTTTCACACTTACTGTCTGGTCACCCTAGGGTGTGCACATGTGTGGGTCCCAGCTGCTCCCTGCCCCCCTCATTGAAGCAGGTGTGCAGGGTTACTGCCCTGGGAACTGCAGGGCACCAGTGGACGTGGGGCCAGCTGCAGAGAGTGGCGTGGGGCAGGGCTAGCTGGAGGCAGGGGGTGCAGGGCTGGCTACGGGCAGGCCAGGGGGTGCGGAGCTGGCTGGAGGCAAGGGAGTGTGGGGCTGGCTGGAGACAGGGCAGGGGCTAACTGGAGGTAGGGGATGGCTGCAGGCAGGGCAGGGTGGTACAGGGCTGGCTGGAGACAGGGGCTGGCTGTGAGTAGGGCAGGGGGTATGGCAGAGGCTGGCTGCGTGCAGGGCAGAGGGTGTGGGGGTGGCTGGAGACAGGGGCTGGCTGTGGGCAGGGCAGGGGGTGCGGCAGGGGCTGGCTGCAGGCAGGGGGTGCAGGGGGTGCGGTAGGGGCTGCCTGTGGGCAGGGTGGTGGGCGCTCATGGGGAGAGCGGCTCGGAGCAGCCCGAGCAGCAGGACGCAGCCCCGGCCCAGCAGAGCAGCCGGGGACCCACCAGGCAGCAGCGGGAGCCCCAGGGCCAGGGGATGAGCAGCAGCACCAGGGCTCGTGCCCAGGGCCAGGTGGCAGCCCATGTGGCTCCCGCAGCGCAGCGCCCCTGGTGGCCGGCAGAGGAATTACATCACTTCCCGGCCGGAGCCCATCAAAGCCTCAGCACCCCTTGCAGGGAAGCGGGTTAACCACCGGTTCTAAAACTGCTTCCAAATGTAACCACCGGGTTGCACGAACAGGCTCCAGCTCACCACTGCTTACCACGCCGCATTTTCAGGAAGTGCTGAGAACCTGCCCTCTGATAAACCCTATTAAAGGCGTTTCAAGCTGAGCACTGAAAAGTGGAGGTATCTATACTCACTAGTCACTTGGAAATCTCGGCTGTGTTCCCATTTTGCATGGGAGTGCGGCACTTATATGTATAAACATGAGCTTACAGGACTTCTGAGCATTATCACCTGTGCTGCAGAAACCCCTTTGGTGTGCAAATTAGGTGCAAATGGATTCTGAACATGGACCTGGTTTTATGTGCACCCGTGACAGTGTGCAAAACATTTGGCATGCTTGTGTACACACAATTGTACCCGCCCAAATGAAGACCAGGTTGAGGCCCCTAATGTCTAGCAAGCATTACTTTAAATTGGAGCTGGTTGGGAATTTTTCAACAAAATGTGTTTTCATCAGCAAATGCCCACTTGTTGAAACCAAAACTCTTTGCAGGAAAGGGTCAGTTTCGACAAATTTCCCATTTTGGAAAAAGGTTTGATATCCTCAAAGTGTCTTATTTTGGCATCTTTAAAACAAAAACATGGCATTTTGGGGGTCAAACTGACTTTTCATTTTGAAATATATGTTAATTGAAAGAAAGAAAGAAAGAAAGAAAGAAAGAAAGAAAGAAAGAAAGAAAGAAAGAAAGTTTTTTTAAAGTTCCAAATCCAAACAAAATGTTTCAAAATGATCAAAAACAAATGCTTCCATTAACCTTATCTGATTTTTTTATTATTATTTATTTTCAGTTCAGAAAAGTTTTGACATTTCAACTTTTCGTGTTGATGCAGGGAGGGAAATTTTTTCAAAATCTTGAAAATATTTGGTGGGACGGGAAAACCTTTTCCTACCCAGCTGTACTTTAAATACAGGATTCTATCTACAATGCAAGATGCAATCAGTAACTATGGTATTCGCCCAGAATCTGAGCAGTCAAAGAGGACTGGGTTTTCTAGCGCAGGTTGGTTTCTCATTGGAGATATGCAAACTGAAGCTTTCTCCCCAAAAGTCTGTTGTATTCATCTGGGCCTGATTCTGAACTCACTTAAACTAATGCAAATCATGAAAATTCTCTGCTCTTGCCCAGTTAAGCTTCTCCTAATTTCACATGCTTCTGCTGAAACACATTTGGAGAAAAAGATCCATCGAGTAATTATGAACAAACAAATAAGTACAAATCTAACTCCGATCTCAGATGTTGAAATAGGAATAGAAAAAGCTGAGATTCATCAAATCAGCTGTTCACAAACACCACCTTGCCCATCTCTGTTCTCCATTATTCACATTCTTCCCTGCACGTCGTCACCAGCAGTGTAATTTTAATTTAACTCTCTGCCTGTATGAATTCAAAAGCTGCATTAACAATCCATCACAGCTCAGAGTGTGCCTTGCTACCTCATCAGTCTCTGGCATCACTGTGATTGTTCAGAGGTGTCTAATGAGAACTTTGTGTCATCCATCAAGAAAATGTCTGGATATTACAAAAGATGCAAAAGAAATTGAACCTTCAGGCATGCTTATTATCGTTTTTTATTTCAGGCTGTTGTTTACTTGGTGAACGCTACTCAGTGGGTCCAGGAGAAGGTGAAAGAACCAGGACACTTAGCCGGAAGGGAGTGTGATCATTTCCCTGCAAGGTTACAGCCCATATAACAGCTGTCTTCAGGTCTTCTTTCCCGTAAACAGCTCAGTAGACAGGGTGCTGGATTGGAACTCAGGAGAGCTGGGTTTGGTTTTCAAATCTGCCACTGCCCATCTCTGTGATCATGGGCAAGTTCCTTCAATGTGCTGTGGCTATTTGCCCATCTTGTCTAGTTAGCCCTGGTCTACACTAGGACTTTAGGTCGAATTTAGCAGCGTTAAATCGATTTAAACCTGCACCCATCCACACAATGAAGCCCTTTATTTCGACTTAAAGGGCTCTTAAAATCGATTTCCTTACTCCACCCCTGACAAGTGGATTAGCACTTAAATCGACGTTGCCGGCTCGAATTTGGGGTACTGTGGACACAATTCGATGGTATTGGCCTCCGGGAGCTATCCCAGAGTGCTCCATTCTGACCGCTCTGGACAGCACTCTCAACTCAGACAGGTAAAGAACCGCGAACTTTTGAATCTCATTTCCTGTTTGGCCAGCGTGGCAAGCTGCAGGTGACCATGCAGAGCTCATCAGCACAGGTGACCATGATGGAGTCCCAGAATCGCAAAAGAGCTCCAGCATGGACCGAACGGGAGGTATGGGATCTGATCGCTGTTTGGGGAGAGGAATCCGTGCTATCAGAACTCCGTTCCAGTTTTCGAAATGCCAAAACCTTTGTGAAAATCTCCCAGGGCATGAAGGACAGAGGCCATAACAGGGACCCGAAGCAGTGCCGCGTGAAACTGAAGGAGCTGAGGCAAGCCTACCAGAAAACCAGAGAGGCGAACAGCCGCTCTGGGTCAGAGCCCCAAACATGCCGCTTCTATGATGAGCTGCATGCCATTTTAGGGGGTTCAGCCACCACTACCCCAGCCGTGTTGTTTGACTCCTTCAATGGAGATGGAGGCAATACGGAAGTAGGTTTTGGGGACGAAGAAGATGATGAGGAGGAGGAGGTTGTAGATAGCTCACAGCAAGCAAGCGGAGAAACCGGTTTTCCCGACAGCCAGGAACTGTTTCTCACCCTAGACCTGGAGCCAGCACCCCCTGAACCCACCCAAGGCTGCCTCCTGGACCCAGCAGGCGGAGAAGGGACCTCTGGTGAGTGTACCTTTTAAAATGCTATACATGGTTTAAAAGCAAGCATGTGAAAGGATTACTTTGCCCTGGCATTTGCGGTTCTCCTAGATGTAGTCCTAAAGCCTTTGCAAAAGGTTTCTGGGGAGGGCAGCCTTATTTCGTCCTTCATGGTAGGACACTTTACCACTCCAGGCCAGTAACACGTACTCGGGAATCACTGTAGAACAAAGCATTGCAGTGTATGTTTGCTGGCATTCAACCAAAATCCGTTCTTTATCTCTCTGTGTTATCCTCAGGAGAGTGAGATATAATTCATGGTCACCTGGTTGAAATAGAGTGCTTTTCTTCAGGGGACACTCAGAGGAGCCCATTCCTGCTGGGCTGTTTGCCTGTGGCTAAACAGAAATGTTCCCCGCTGTTAGCCACAGGGAGGGGAGAAGATTGAGGGGATAGTCACGCGGTGGGAGGAGGCAAAATGCGACCTTGTAACGAAAGCACATGTGCTATGTATGTAATGTTAACAGCAATGTTTACCCTGAAAGAGTGTAGCGACTGTTTTATAAAATGTGTCTTTTTAAATACCGCTGTCCCTTTTTTTTTCTCCACCAGCTGCATGTGTTTCAATGATCACAGGATCTTCTCCTTCCCAGAGGCTAGTGAAGCTTAGAAAGAAAAAAAAACGCACTCGCGATGAAATGTTCTCCGAGCTCATGCTGTCCTCCCACACTGACAGAGCACAGACGAATGCGTGGAGGCAAATAATGTCAGAGTGCAGGAAAGCACAAAATGACCGGGAGGAGAGGTGGAGGGCTGAAGAGAGTAAGTGATGGGCTGAAGAGAGGAAGTGGCGGGCTGAAGACAGGGCTGAAGCTCAAATGTGGCGGCAGCGTGATGAGAGGAGGCAGGATTCAATGCTGAGGCTGCTGCAGGACCAAACCAGTATGCTCCAGTGTATGGTTGAGCTGCAGCAAACGCAGCTGGAGCACAGACTGTCACTGCTGCCCCTCTGTAACCAACCGCCCTCCTCCCCAAGTTCCATAGCCTCCACACCCAGACGCCCAAGAACGCGGTGGGGGGGCCTCCGGCCAACCAGCCACTCCACCACAGAGGATTGCCCAAAAAAAAGAAGGCTGTCATTCAATAAATTTTAAAGTTGTAAACTTTTAAAGTGCTGTGCTTAAAGTGCTGTGTGGCATTTTCCTTCCCTCCTCCACCACCCCTCCTGGGATACCTTGGTAGTCATCTCCCTGTTTGTGTGATGAATGAATAACGAATGCATGACTGTGAAGCAGCAATGACTTTATTGCCTCTGCAAGCAATGATTAAAGGGAGGAGGGGAGGGTGGTTAGCTTACAGGGAAGTAGAGTGAACCAAGGGGCGGGGGGTTTCATCAAGGAGAAACAAACAGAACTTTCACACCGTAGCCTGGCCAGTCATGAAACTGGTTTTCAAAGCTTCTCTGATGCGTACCGCGCCCTCCTGTGCTCTTCTAACCGCCCTGGTGTCTGGCTGCGCGTAACCAGCAGCTAGGCGATTTGCCTCAACCTCCCACCCCGCCATAAACGTCTCCCCCTTACTCTCACAGATATTGTGGAGCACACAGCAAGCAGTAATAACAGTGGGAATATTGGTTTCGCTGAGGTCTAAGCGAGTCAGTAAACTACGCCAGCGCGCCTTTAAACGTCCAAATGCACATTCTACCACCATTCTGCACTTGCTCAGCCTGTAGTTGAACAGCTCCTGACTACTGTCCAGGCTGCCTGTGTACGGCTTCATGAGCCATGGCATTAAGGGGTAGGCTGGGTCCCCAAGGATACATATAGGCATTTCAACATCCCCAACAGTTATTTTCTGGTCTGGGAATAAAGTCCCTTCCTGCAGCTTTTGAAACAGACCAGAGTTCCTGAAGATGCGAGCATCATGCACCTTTCCCGGCCATCCCACGTTGATGTTGGTGAAACGTCCCTTGTGATCCACCAGAGCTTGCAGCACTATCGAAAAGTACCCCTTGCGGTTTATGTACTCGGCGGCTTGGTGCTCCGGTGCCAAGATAGGGATATAGGTTCCGTCTATAGCCCCACCACAGTTAGGGAATCCCATTGCAGCAAAGCCATCCACTATGACCTGCACATTTCCCAGGGTCACTACCCTTGATATCAGCAGATCTTTGATTGCGTGGGCTACTTGCATCACAGCAGCCACCACAGTAGATTTGCCCACTCCAAATTGATTCCCAACTGACCGGTAGCTGTCTGGTGTTGCAAGCTTCCACAGGGCTATCGCCACTCGCTTCTCAACTGTGAGGGCTGCTCTCATCTTGGTATTCATGCGCTTCAGGGCAGGGGAAAGCAAGTCACAAAGTTCCATGAAAGTGCCCCTACGCATGCGAAAGTTTCGCAGCCACTGGGAATCGTCCCAGACCTGCAACACTATGCGGTCCCACCAGTCTGTGCTTGTTTCCCGAGCCCAGAATCGGCGTTCCACAGCATGAACCTGCCCCATTAGCACCATGATGCATGCATTGTCAGGGCCCATGCTTTCAGAGAAATCTGTGTCCATATCCTGATCACTCACGGGACCGCGCTGATGTCGCCTCCTCGCCCGGTATCGCGTTGCCATGTTCTGGTGCTGCATATACTGCTGGATAATGCGTATGGTGGTTAATGTGCTCCTAATTGCCAAAGTGAGCTGAGCGGCCTCCATGCTTGCCTTGGTATGGCGTCCGCAGAGAAAAAAGGCGCAGAACGATTGTGTGCCATTGCTCTGACGGAGGGAGGGGCGACTGACGACACGGCTTACAGGGTTGGCTTCAGGGAGCTAAAATCAACAAAGGGTGTGCCTGTACATCAAGGAGTATTTCAGGCAGGACTGCACGGAGGGTTCCAATAAGAAATGGTGCACCTAAGTTATCGTTCTTATTGGAACAAGGAGGTTAGCCTGGCCTCTGATTGATACATGGCTAGATTTACCTCGCTGCACCTTCTCTGTGAGTGACTGCAGTGTGACCTAGAGGAATGAGTCCCCTAGACAGGGGAGGAGGCAAATGAGTACAAAACAAATCTGGTCTATTTCTTGTTTTGACCCACTCCATCTATCTTTTACATCTTTGGCTGGCAGCAGACGGTGCAGAAGGACTGCATGCCATCCACATCTCATGGCTGCTCGGCAGAAGATGGTACAGTACGACTGCTAGCCATCCCCATCTCTTGCCTGCCTGGCAGAAGATGGTACAGTACGACTGCTAGCAGTCCGTATCGCCTGCCCGCTCACCATAAGATGGTTCAATAGGACTGACTGCAGGACTAAAGAGAATGACCTGGTCAAGTCACTCCAAATTTAGTCCCTGCGCCCATGTCTGCCCAGGCGCTCCCAGCCGACGTGGCCAGGAGCACCTCGGACACGACGAGGACGACTACCAATCGTATTGCACCGTCTGCTGCCAGAAGGCAATGGGTTGCTGCTACTGTGCAGCAAAGCCGTACCGCGTCTGCCAGCACCCAGGAGACATAGGGTGATGGTTACCTGAGCGGGCTCCATGCTTGCTGTGGTATGGCGTCTGCACAGGTAACTCAGGAAAAAAGGCGCGAAATGATTGTCTGCCCTTGCTTTCACGGAGGGAGGGAGGGAACGGGGGCCTGACGACACGTACCCAGAACCACCCGCGACAATGTTTTAGCCCCATCAGAGTGCTCCATTGTGACTGCTCTGGACAGCACTCTCAGATGCCCGATTGTTTGCCGTTGCTCTGACGCCGGGAGGGGTGACTGAGGACATGGCTTACAGGGTTGGCTTCAGGGAGCTAAAATCAACAAAGGGGGTGGCTTTACATCTAGGAGTATTTCAGGCAGGACTTCACGGAGGGTTCCAATAAGAAATGGTGCACCTAAGTTATCGTTCTTATTGGAACAAGAAGGTTAGCCTGGCCTCTGATTGATACATGGCTAGATTTACCTCGCTGCACCTTCTCTGTGAGTGACTGCAGTGTGACCTAGAAGAATGAGTCCCCTAGACAGGGGAGGGGGGGAAGCAAATGAGTACAAAACAAATCTGGTCTATTTCTTGTTTTGACCCACTCCATCTATCTTTTACATCTTTGGCTGGCAGCAGACGGTGCAGAAGGACTGCATGCCATCCACATCTCATGGCTGCTCGGCAGAAGATGGTACAGTACGACTGCTAGCAGTCCGTATCGCCTGCCCGCTCACCATAAGACGGTTCAATAGGACTGACTGCAGGACTAAAGAGAATGACCTGGTCAAGTCACTCCAAATTTAGTCCCTGTGCCCATGTCTGCCCAGGCGCTCCTGATCGATCTCACAGAGGTGACCAGGAGCACCTCAGACATGACGATGATGGCTACCAGTCGTACTGTATCGTCTGCTGCCACAAGGCAAGGGGTTGCTGCTACTGTGTAGCAATGCCGTACCGCGTCTGCCAGCACCCAGGAGACACAGGGTGACGGTTACCTGAGCGGGCTCCATGCTTGCCATGGTATGGCGTCTGCACAGGTAACTCAGGAAAAAAGGCGCGAAATGATTGTCTGCCCTTGCTTTCACGGGGGGAGGGAGGGAACGGGGGGCTGACGATATGTACCCAGAACCACCCACGACAATGTTTTAGCCCCATCAGGCATTGGGATCTCAACCCAGAATTCCAATGGGCAGCGGAGACTGCGGGAACTGTGGGATAGTTACCCACAGTGCAACGCTCCGGAAGTCGACGCTTGCCTCGGTACTGTGGAAGCGCTCCGCCGAGTTAATGCACTTAATGCACTTAGAGCATTTTCTGTGGGGACACACACACTCGAATATATAAAACCGATTTCTAAAAAACCGACTTCTATAAATTCGACCTAATTTCGTAGTGTAGACATACCCTTAGACTGTAAACTCTCTGGGGCAGGGACTGTCTTTTACTATGTGTATATACAACACCTAGCAGAACAGAGCCATGAAAACACCTGTTATTCTGCCATTCAGATGCGAATTGCTAGCCAAGACCTAGCTGGGCACATCGCTATCCCTTTTCACAGGACAATCCAAATGGAAAGCAAATGGTTAACTATATCTGGTACTGTGTGTCCAGCAGTAGCAAGGAAGAGTCTGTAGACTGTTAATGGGCTAAGAGAGATTCTGATGTGGCTCTCTCTCAGTCTCTTCTCTTGAAGTTGTTCCACTGAGTATTAAATAATGATATATGGATTGGATCAGAGAGCAAGTGAGAATGACTCTGTAGTCCCATGGCTAGAGCATTCACCACAGAGGTGGGGCAGAAAGGGGAATTAACCTAGACACTTCCACATCCTGAGGCCTCCTCCTCCTTGGTCATTTTGTGTGGAGTTTGGTCTGCTCTGAGCATGCCTACTGGATTGAGCCCCACGGGTAAGATAAGTGGGACCACATCTAGTTTCAGCTGGTTGGAAGATTCCACTTGGGATAAGGTGTGAGACTGAAGGAGGAGCATGCATGTCCAGCACCTCGGGGACTGTAACAGTGGAAATTTAGGTGCTGAGGGATTTTTAGGCACCTCTGGGTTGAGACGGCAGCTTAGCGGGGCTTTTGAGGATGTCAGTGGTGCCTAAATTTTGGACTTAGGCACCTAAGTGGGAGTTAGGTGCCTACGTCTTTTTATGGAGCTTGGCCTTCCTCTTTCTGTGCCTCCATTCCCCATCTATACAACAGGGATTAAAGCACAGTGGTGCTGTGAGGATAAATACATTAAAGACTGTGAGAGCCTATGTGCTCTCATAACAGGGGTCATATAAGTACGTAGATGTTTGATTGTGCCAGAATGACCAAGATGTCTGCCTCCATAACTCCGTGGATTG